TAATATGGAATATTTTTCATTATAATATTGTTTTTTAGTGTAGGATTACTTTCCTTAATAGTTGATTGTTTAATCTTTATTTTTTTTTATTTCCTTTTACAGTTATTTGTAATTCTATAAATAGGGTCTTCTACATTGTAATATTTACAAGTTTATTATATACAATTTATAATATTCTTGACATGGTATCAGAGCCATTACGATCCTACACAAATTAACTAGTGAATTTCGATTCCAAGGCTGCTCGCCCGGCCAATTATTATTTTTTGTCTTTCATCTTCTTTTCGTCTGGTGTTCCAATAACAATGTCCACACCAGATTTCAGAGCAGATATCTGGGGTCCTTTCGAAGTTCCTCCACATATACAACCTGATTGCACCCTACTAGGCCTTCCAACAGAAAAGGCTAGGATTGGGATTGAATCATTCACATTATTCCCTGAATTGTTTTCTCTCCTCTATCATTGTCTATTTTCTTCTTCTTTTTTTTGATTTCTCATCAGACCCATACTCAAAATCTCCTTTTCTCCCGCTTCTTCCCCATTTTTCTTCCTTTTTTTACCGATATTTCATCCGACCCATTTAGTGTTTCGGCCTCTTCTTTTTCAGATTTTTCTTTGATTCCGTACAGATCTCTGCTACAGTTTCTTCAAGCTTTCGCTTGAGCATTTTCCGGCATTCTGTATCACCATTCTCAGTGGTGTTGAGGGCTTTTGGTTCAGTGCGAACATAATCTTCTGCTTCCACGTTTGTGTTTTGAACATGGCGAATGTGCTGGAACTCCTCAATTGCAATTAGCGACATGGTTAGGTTTTGGAAGATGGTGGAGTTATTTGGGTTTAAGTAATTGGGCCAGCTTATTGGGTTGGTATTTGTGGATATGGGCCTGGGATTAATGGACTGCTTATGGGTTGTTTGTAAGATTGAGATTTTTTGGCATAAGGTTTGGGCTACTTAGGTTTTTGTGATAATGGGCCTGTTACTTTGTTGTTTGAGCTTCATTTTTTTCTGACTTGGTTCGATTTTGGAGACTTTCATGGATGCTTATGGGCCTGGGCAATTTTGAATGAGTGATTTGGATTGTATTTTATTATAGGTTTTATGAATAGGTTAGGGATTTGTTGAAAGTAGGCTTGGCTTGTGGACATGGAGGTCTAACTTGTAATGGCAGAGGTAATTATGGCTTGTGAGCAATTGGGCTATTATTTTGGTTTTTGAGACTTGCTATAGTTTCAAGTTATGGAATTTTGGG